TAAATTCTTATGGTGTAGGTGAGGAATTATATTTACCTTGGAATTTGGCCTTTTTCTCTCCTTTTCTCCTTGATTCCTTCTTTCTCCTTCATTCCAAGAATTTTGGCCTAGTGGAAAAATCTTTCTTTCTCTTTGCTTGATCTTTTAAGATAGTTTGGAGGTTAATTTAAGGTATTTCTAAACTAGTTAAAGTGATTTAGAGTGGTCGTTTGGGTAGTTGAAATCTCTCTCTCTCTAATGGTTGCTTGGAACTTAATGGAGTCTAACTTTTTCTTCTTCTTCTCTAAATGTACGGTTAGCTTTTTGCCTCAAGATCAAGCCAAGTATGGCAAACTTGGATTGATCTTAAGAGGGTTCATTAAATGCCTAAGGATTTTTCTTCTTCCTTCTTCTTAATTTTTTTTCTCTTCTTTCTTTCTTCTTCCATTGATTTTCTCCTTCTCTCTTTCTCTCCCATTTTTCCATATTTTTCTACTACAAAATAACCTCTCAAAATCCATTATTTAATTCCTCAATACTTTAGCACTTAAACATTGTAACCCTTAAGCCTTTAATTGTCTCATTTAGGTGCCTCAATTCCTCTAATTTCATTCATAAAACTTCAAATTTTCCACCAATAAGCCCTTAATCTAGGCATTTCCAAATTCAATTGAAGTCCTTATTATTTTTTAATCATTTTAATTAAAGACTTAAATTTTTAATTTTTGTAATAACGCCCTTAGGTTTTGTAATTGCACCCCTATGGCAGAGCATAACCATAATAATTTAAGGTGCCAATCCCTAATTCAACCTTTCTTCATTCTATTAACCTATCCCATCAATCTTACTTAAGTTTCTTTTATTCTTAATTGAAATCTAAACTCTATTCACACATTTAATAAAATGTACTTTCATTAATTACATATAATGTTCTAAGAGGGTTTTTGGATCACGGATATTACACAATGTGTCATCCATATGCAACTTTCGATTAGCTTTGTATGAAAGAAAACGTGAAAAAAATAAATAGATTTTCATGGTTCTTGGTCTTTCCAACTTAAACTCACCTTATTTTTGTCCAAAAAAATCTCAAAAATGCAAAAATAAGGTCTATAAACTATTTTAGTGTCTCACGATGCATTTCAATGAAAAAAACACATCAAAATTCAAATCAAAATCTAAAACCTAAAAAAAAATTGGAACCCGACCTACCTTCTCCAACCATTTCATGGTTTGTGATCACTATGAAATAAACTATCTTCTTGAAAATGAACAAATTTAAGGTAATCTCGACCATCAAGATGGTTGAAATAGACCTCGTATGTCCTCTCTCTCTTTTCCCATCTCTCACCATTTGTCCCTCTCTTTTTTGGGCATCATAAAATCAAAATGAAAAAGAAACAAAGTTTTGTTTAAGTGCTAAAGTATTTGGACTAAATTTGTTTCCTAAAATCTAAGGACCAAATTGTAGCTTTTTGGATAAGCAGTTGAATTGCATAGTCCAAATGAATTTGAATCTACGAGTTACAATGAGTGTGCCCCTATAATAAAATATAAAGTAACCAAACAATCCGAGAAAGAGAAGGATGTATGTTTTTAAAAGACATTTTAAGCTTTAAAACTTATTTGATTCATCAATTTGTTGTTTCACAACAACAAAAAAACTTAATCTCAATATGATTTTTTTGAAAAAGTGTCATTTTCACTTTTTAGTGACATACCAAATTTAGTCACCGTTTGATTTTAAATTGGACCATTTTTCTCTTAATTAGCGATGGAACACATCATTTGTCACTAAAATCTCAACATTAGCGACTAAAAAATCATCGATCGCTACTAGATTTTTTATGTGATATATTTTAGAATGATAATTCTTGCATTATAGTTGCTAATTGCTGTAATATAATCATCGAATAAAGTAATAAAAGAGTTTAGGTTATATTTATTATGATTTTTATAAATTAATTTAAGTTGGTTTTAATTTTTTATTTAAGAAAAGTCATAAGTATGTTTGGTTAAAAATTACTTTTAACTTAACTTAAAATTTTATTACAAAATTAAGTCAAAATTTAGATCTAACTTATGGATTATAACTTTATGTACTACATTTATTATTCAAAAACATGATTTTAGTCATTTTTACCAAATAAACTTCTAGTTTAAATTCTAACTGATTTTTTCTTAAGTTATGAAAAATAACTTTATTGACTTTTGAGTTATAATTCAAAAGTTTTTTTTTTCATAAGTTTGCAAATTTGAGATAGAATGAATTTAAATTATAATTATATTCAATAAAAAAGACAAAAATTATTTTTTTTTCAAAAAAAAAAGTAGTATAAGTTACAATTCATAAATTAAAAGTTAAAAGTTTTAATTTTTGATTAAATCAAAATTTTGACTTAATTTTCTGAAAAATATTTTATTTATGTTAAAAATTATTTCTAACCAAACATAATTACAAATTTACTTTAAGTCATAAATTAAAAACCAAATTAAATATTTGTAAAAATCATACCAAGTATAACCTAAATTAAAAGACTTCAAGTTAAAAGCATAATTTATAAAAATTAACCCAAATCATTTTTTCAGTAAATTTGGTAAAAATTAACCCAAATCATTTTTTAAAGTATATTTGATAAAAATTAATGCAAATTATCTTCTTTTTTTCTAAAAACAATGATAGTGTCGTTAGCTAATGTCGGATGAGACTCCCAAAAAATTTAAAGATTTGAAGATTATATATCACATTTATGATTTGTTATGATGATGCAAGTTATTATTGAATTCAAAGTCGCTAGAACAAATCATAAATGCGACACAAAATCTTTGGGAGTCCCAATCGACATTGGGTAGGGATAGAATGATGACTCCAAACTTAATAACTTACATCTCCGAAATCCCTACAAACGCGAAGCGTTATCTCTAAAAACCTAGATTTGTTTTAGTCCAATTTGACGTCGCGTAGTGACAAATAGTATAAGTCGAATCAATAAGTGAAAAGTTAAAATTTTGACTTTTAATTAAATCAATTTTGAATCAATTTTCTTTTGAACTTTTGATTTGAGTCGGAATGTTATTTATATCCAAATATACTTATAATTTTCCTTTAAGTTACAAATTAAAAAAAAAAAAACTTAAATCAATTTGCAAAAATCATACTATACGAAATTGAGGAATTCTTTTCCAATGCCTCTCACTTATATTCAAAAAAGATGAACACATATACCTAATATAGAGTACCCTCTTAGCTTTATAATTATGATTCCGAACTAATCTTTAAAAAATAGTCTAAAGTTTCCTTTTAGAAATTATTTTGACATAAGTAAGTAAAAATAACTATCTACAATTAAAGTGTAACCAATGATAATTTTTTTTTCTTTTTTCAAAAACACTTTGGCAAATGAAACAACATACTTTTCTATCATTTAAGTTGTCCCTTTGATCAAAACCTTACTAACCCTTCCTCTATGCTCCACTCGGTTTTTTTTTCTATGAAAAGACATAATTTTTTTCTTTATTGCTTTTCTTAGATTTCATACCTTCTTCATATTATCGTTTTTTTTTCATGTTTTTGTTAGATTTACTCTCATATGCCCATTATAGATAAAGAGGTTTCCACTGGTGTTAAAGAATCTATCAAGATTCTTGAAAAATACGAGAAAGAGAAGGATTTATGTTTTTAAGATGTTTTTAAGTTTTAAAAACTTATTTCATTCATCAATTTATTGTTTCATAACCACAAAAAAACTTAATATCAATATGATTTTTTGAAAAAAGTGTCGTCTTCCCTTTTTAGTCACATACTAAATTCCATCACGAATGATAAATTTTCGTCATTGTTTGATTTTAGTTTTTTGTCCATTTTTCTCTTAATTAGCTACTCGAACATATCATGTCTTGCTAAAATTCTAAAATTAGCCACTAAAAAAATCATTCTCTATTGTTTGATTTTTTATGTGATATATTTTAGATCGATGATGCTTGCATTATAGTTACTAGTTGATATAAGATAAGTGTGAGAATAAGATAGTAAAATATTTTAGGTTATGTTTAGTACAATTTTTATAAATTGATTTAAGTTGATTTTAATCTTTAATTTAAGAGAATTCATAAGTATGTTTGGTTAGAAATTACTTTTAACTTAAATTAAACATTTTATTGCAAAAGCAAGCCCAAATTTAGATCTAACTTATGGATTATAATTTTTATGTACTATATTTATTGTTCAAAAAAAGGATTTTAGTCATTTTTACCAAATAAACTTCCAGTTTTAATTCATTCTAACTGATTTTTGTCTCAAGTTATGAAAAAGAACTTTGTTGACTTTTACTTATAATACAAAAGTTGTTTTCCATAAATATACAAATTTGAGTTATAATGAATTTAAATTATAATTATATGTAGTAAAAGTGACTAAAATAATTTTTTTTCTAAAAAAAAGGTAGTATAAGTTACAATTCATAAATTAAATTTTAAAAGTTTTAATTTTTATTTTTTGATTAAATAAAAAATTTGACTTAATTTTATGAAATTTTTTTAATTTATGTTAAAAATTATTCCTAACCAAACATAATTACAACTTTACTTTAAGTCATAAGTTAAAAACCAACTTAAATCAATTTGCAAGAAAACTCTCCTCTCTCTCTTGAAAGCCAATAAAATTACTAGAAAGCCCTCTTTCAAGAAAACCGAAACTCCTCTAAAAAAAACTAGAAATAATGGCAATGTATGTTTCTAGAAACCTTTTTATGATATTTTTTGTTTTATGTTGTGCTTTCGAGTGCCGATTGCAAGGCTTTGTCCCTCACTCAAAGTAATGACATTACGACGAGCACAAGCATCAACAATCCATCTCCACATTATATCCGCAACCATTCCCCCTTCCATCGTCATTTTTGTTAGTATTGTATGTGTCTTAAGATTATTATCACTTGCCATCGTTTCGTTTTCTTTTTTGTACAAGAAATTGTTTCTTCTTGGATTGAAACCTTTATCCATAACCAGTTTGTCATTGCAGCCCTTTACTCTAGTGTGGCTATGAGATCTTTGATGGCACTTGAGGAAAGATTGAGTTCTTCATTGATCTTTGCAATTGCATTTTTAATGAATGTCATATATGTATTCTCTACCTTTGTCACAAAGGAAAGTAAACGTAGCCAAGATAGTACACATTTTATTCGCTAAACAACTTTAATTATAAGCAACAATAATATTTTTTTCCTTTTTCAAAATTGTTTTGACAAATGAAATGACATGCTTTTCTTCCTTTTAAGTTGTCTATTTGAATGAAACCCTACTAACCCCTACTCCTAGCTCTATAGTTCTTGATACTATCTTTCTTTCTTGCTTTTTTAACTTTTTTGCTACTTGTCTTTCTTTATTGCTTTACTTAGATTTCATACTATCATTTCTTTTATGCTTTCATTAGATTTCTCTTGTACACCCATTATAGATAAGGAGGTTCCTACCATTGTTAAAAAATGTGCCAAGATTCAGGAAAAAAGCTAATAAAGAGAAGGATGTATGTTTTTAAAAGAGATTTTTAAGCTTTAAAAACTTATTTGATTCATCAATTTATTGTTTCATAATCACGGACATACTTAATCTCAATATGATTTTTGGAAAAAGCGTCATATTCATTTTTTGATGACATACTAAATTTTGTCGCTAAATATAAGTAGTATAAATTACAATTTATAAATTAAAAACTATTACTTTTAATTTTTGATTAAATCAAAACTTTGACTTAATTTTATGACAAATATTTTATTTATGTTAAAAATTATTTCTAACCAAACATAATTACAACATTACTTCAACTCATGAATTAAAAACCAACTTAAATCAATTTGCAAGAAAACTCTCCTCTCTCTCTCAAAAGCCAATAAAATTCCTAATAAGCCTCCTTTCAAGAAAATAAATCCCCTCTCAAGAAAAATGAAAACAATGGCATTGTATATTTTTAGAAACATTTACATGATATTTTTTATTTTGTGCTTGTGCTTTTAGTGTCGTTTACGTGGCTCTATCCCTCACTCAAACTAATTACACTTCGGCAACACTAACATCAACGACTCATCTCCACATTACATATGTAACCATTTTTGCTTCCATCGTCGCTTTTGTTAGTATTGCATGTTTTTCAAGATTATTATCACTAGTCATTATTTTGTTTTCTTTTTTACATAAAAAGCTGTTTCTTCTTGGATTGAAAATTTATCCATAATTAGCTCGTCATTGTAGCCCTTTAATATGGTGTGGCTATGAGATCTTTGTTAGCATTCGAACAAAGATCGAGTTCTTCATTAATCTCTATAATTGCATTTTTAATGAATGTCATATCTGTATTCTCTACCTTTATTGTGAAGGAAGCGAGACATAGTAAAGATAACACACATTTTTTTCGCTAAACAACTTTAGCTATAAGCAACAATAATTTTTTTCTTTTTCGAAATGCTTTGAAAAAATGAAAGGACTTCCTTTTTTACCTTTTATATTGTCTATTTGGTTAAAACCCTACTAACCCCTCCTCCTTGCTCTACCACTCTTGATACTTGTCTTTTTTCTTGCTTTTTTTACTTTTTTGCTACTATCTTTCTTTATTGCTTGACTTAGATTGCATACTATCGTTTCTCTTATGTTTTTTTTTAGATTTCCTCCTGTACACCTATTATAGATAAGGAGGTTTCCTCTATTGTTAAAGAATATATCAAGATTCGGAAAAAAGCTAAAAAAGAGAAGGATGTATGTTTTTAAAAGAGATTTTTAAGCTTTAAAAACTTATTTGATTCATCAATTTATGGTTTCACAACAACAAACATACATAATCTCAATATAATTTTTTGAAAAAGCATCATATTCACTTTTTAATGACATACTAAATTTTGTCGCTAAATATAAGTAGTATAAGTTACGATTCATAAATTAAAAGTTACAAGTTTTAATTTTTGATTAAATCAAAACTTTTTGACATAATTTTATGACAAATATTTTATTTATATTAAAAATTATTTCTAACCAAACATAATTACAACTTTACTTCAACTCATGAATTCCAAACCAACTTAATTCAATTTACAAGAAAACTCTCTTCTCTCTCTCTCTCAAAAGCCAATAAAATTCATAATAAGCCTCGTTTTAAGAAAACAAATATTCTCTCAAGAAAACCGAAAACAATGGCACTCGTATTTTTTTAGAAACATTTTTATGTTATTTTTTGTTTTGTGTTGTGCGTTCGGTGTCGGTTGCATGGCTCGTCCCTTACTCAAACTAAATACACTTCGATAGCACAAACATCAACGACTCATCTCCACATTACATCCACAACAATTTTTGCTTCCATTGTCGCTTTTATTAGTATTGCATGTGTTCCAAGATTACTATCACTCATCATTGTTTTCTTTTATTTTTTACATAAGAAACTGTTTCTTCTTGGATTGAAACCTTTATCCATAATTAGTCTATCATTTCAACCTTTACTCTAGTATGGCTATGAGATCTTTAATGACATTTGAAGAAAGATCGAGTCCTTCGATAATATTTGTAATTGCATTTTTTTTATGAATGCCATATCAACATTCTCCACATTTTTTGCAAAGGAAGCGAGACGTAGCCAAGATAGCACATGCTTTGTTCGTTAAACAACTTTAGCTATAAGCAATAATAATTTTTTTCCTTTTTCCAAAATGCTTTGACAAATGAAACAACATGCTTCTCTATCTTTTAAGTTGTCTATTTGGTCAAAACCCTACTAACCCCTCCTTCTTACTCTACCATTCTTGATACTTGTCTTTCTTTCTTGCTTTTTTACTTTTTTTTGCTACTATCTTTCTTTATTGCTTTACTTAGATTTCATGCTATCGTTTCTCTTATGTTTTTCTTAGATTTCCTCTTGTACATCTATTATGGATAAAGAGGTTCCTCTATTCTTAAAGAATATATCAAGATTCGGAAAAAAAAACTAAAAAAAAGGATGTATGTTTTTAAAAGAGACTTTTAAGCTTTAAAAACTTATTTGATTCATCAATTTATTATTTCACAACGACAAACATACTTAATCTCAATATGATTTTTTGAAAAAGCATCATATTCACTTTTTAATGACATACTAAATTTTGTCGATAAAAATAAGTAGCATAAGTTATGATTCATAAATTAAAAGTTACAAGTTTTAATTTTTTATTACATCAAAACTTTGACATAATTTTATGACAAATATTTTATTTATGTTAAAAATTATTTCTAACCAAACATAATTACAACTTTACTTCAACTCATGAATTCCAAACCAACTTAATTCAATTTACAAGAAAACTCTCCTCTCTCTCTCAAAAGCCAATAAAATTCCTAATAAGCCTCGTTTTAAGAAAACAAATCTTCTCTCAAGAAAATTGAAACAATGGCACTCGTATTGTTTTAGAAACATTTTTATGTTATTTTTTGTTTTGTGTTGTGCGTTCAATGTCGGTTACATGGCTCGTCCCTTACTTAAACTAAATACACTTCGATAGCACTAACATCAATGGCTCATCTCCACATTACATCCGCAACAATTTTTGCTTCCATTGTCGCTTTTATTAGTATTGCATGTGTTCCAAGATTATTATCACTCGTCATTGTTTTGTTTTCTTTTTTACATGAGAAACTGTTTCTTCTTGGATTGAAACCTTTATTTCCATAATTAGCCTATCATTGCAACCTTTCACTCTAGTATGGCTATGAGATCTTTAATGTCATTTGAAGAAAGATCGAGTCCTTCAATAATCTTTGTAATTGCATTTGTTTTTATGAATGCCATATCAACATTCTCTACATTTATTGCAAAGGAAGCAAACGTAGCTAAGATAGCAAATGCTTTGTTCGCTAAACACTTTAGCTATGAGCAATAATAATATTTTTTTCTTTTTCAAAAATGCTTTGACAAATGAAACGACATGCTTTTCTATCTTTTAAGTTGCCTATTTGGTCAAAACCCTACTAACCCCTCCTTCTTGCTCTACCATTCATGATACTCGTCTTTCTTTCTTGCTTTTTTTACTTTTTTTGCTACTATCTTTCTTTATTGCTTTACTTAGATTTCATGCTATCGTTTTCTTATGTTTTTGTTAGATTCACTCTTATACATCTATTATAGATAAAGAGGTTTCCTCTCGCTCTTAAAGAATATATCAAGATTCTGAAAAAAAAACTAAAGAAAAAAAGATGTATGTTTTTAAAAGAGACTTTTAAGTTTTAAAAACTTATTTGATGAAACGACCACAAACATACTCAATTTCAATATGATATTTTGAAAAAGCATCATATTCACTTTTTGATAACATACTAAATTTTGTCGCTAAATATATGTAGCATAAGTTATGATTCATAAATTAAAAGTTACAAGTTTTAAATATTTATTAAATCAAAACTTTAATATAATTTTGTGACAAATATTTTATTTATGTTAAAAATTATTTCTAACGAAACATAATTACAACTTTACTTCAACTCATGAATTCCAAACCAACTTAATTCAATTTACAAGAAAACTCTCTTCTCTCTCTCAAAAGCCAATAAAATTCCAAATAAATCTCTATTTAAGAAAACCAAAACTCCTCTCAATAAAACTAAAAACAATGACACCGTATTTTTCCGAAACATTTTTATGATATTTTTTGTTTTGTGTTGTGCTTTCGAGTGTCGATTGCATGGTCGTGTCCACTTACTCAAACTAAATATAATTCAACGAGCACCAACATAAACGGCCCATCTCTATATTACATCCACGACAATTTTTGCTTTCATTATCGCTTTTGTTAGTATTGTATGTGTTTCAAGATTATTATCACTCGCCATTGTTTTGTTTTCTTTTTTACATGAGAAACTATTTCTTCTTGAATTGAAACCTTTGTCCATAATTAGCCTATCATTCCAAACCTTCACTCTAGTATGGCTATGAGATCTTTAATGTCATTTGAAGAAAGATCGAGTCCTTTAGTAATCTTTGTAATTGCATTTATTTTTTATGAATGCCATATCAAAATTCTCTACATTTATTGCAAAGGAAGCAGACGTAGCCAAGATAGCACATACCTTATTCGCTAAACAACTTTAGCTATGAGCAATAATAATATTTTTTTCCTTTTTCCAAAATGCTTTGGCAAATGAAACAACATGCTTTTCTATCTTTTAAGTTGCCTATTTGGTCAAAACCCTACTAACCCCTCCTTCTTGCTCTACCATTCCCGATACTCGTGTTTCTTTCATGCTTTTTTTTACTTTTTTTGCTACTATCTTTCTTTATTGCTTTATTTAGATTTAATGCTATTGTCTCTCTTCTGTTTTTATTAGATTTCCTCTTGTACATCTATTATAGATAAAGAGGTTTCCTCTACTCTTAAAGAATATATCAAGATTCGGAAAAAAAACTAAAGAAAAAAAGATGTATGTTTTTAAAAGAGACTTTTAAGTTTTAAAAACTTATTTAATTCATCAATTTATTATTTCACAACCACAAACATACTTAATCTCAATATGATTTTTTGAAAAATCATCATATTCACTTTTTGATGACATATTAAATTTTGTCGCTAAATATATGTAGCAAAAGTTATGATCCATAAATTAAAAGTTAAAAGTTTTAATTTTTTATTAAATCAAAACTTTGACATAATTTTATGACAAATATTTTATTTATGTTAAAAATTATTTCTAACCAAACATAATTACAACTTTACTTCAACTCATGAATTCCAAACCAAGCTTAATTCAATTTAAAAGAAAACTCGTTCTCTCTCTCAAAAGCCAATAAAATTCCTAATAAACCTCTTTTTAAGAAAATCAAAACTCCTCTCAATAAAACTGAAAACAATGGTACTCGTATTTTTCCGAAACATTTTTATGATATTTTTTGTTTTGTGTTGTGCTTTTAGTGTCGGTTGCATGGCTCGTCCCTTACTCAAACTAAATATACTTCGATAACACCAACATAAACGGCCCATCTCTACAATACATCCGTAACAATTTTTGCTTTCATTGTTGCTTTTGTTAGTATTGCATGTGTTTCAAGATTATTATCACTCGCCATTGTTTCATTTTTTTTTACATGAGAAACTCTTTCTTCTTGGATTGAAACCTTTGTCCATAATTAGCCTATCATTGCAACCTTTCACTCTAGTATGGCTATGAGATCTTTAATGTCATTTGAAGAAAGATCGAGTCCTTCGATAATCTTTGTAATTGTATTTTTTTTTATGAATGCCATATCAACATTCTCTACATTTATTGCAAATGAAGCGGACGTAGCCAAGATAGCACATACCTTGTTCGCTAAACAACTTTAGCTATGAGCAATAATAATATTTTTTTCTTTTTTCCAAAATGCTTTGGCAAATGAAACGACATGCTTTTCTATCTTTTAAGTTGCCTATTTGGTCAAAACACTACTAACCCCTCCTTCTTCCTCTACCATTCTTGATACTTGTCTTTCTTTCTTGCTTTTTTACTTTATTTGCTACTATCTTTCTTTATTACTTTATTTAGATTTCATGCTTATCATTTCTCTTACGTTTTTGTTAGATTCACTCTTGTACATCTATTATAGATAAAGAGGTTTCCTCTACTCTTAAAGAATATATAAGATTCTGGAAAAAAAAACTAAAGAAAAAAATATTTATGTTTTTAAAAGAGACTTTTATGTTTTAAAAACTTATTTAATTCATCAATTTATTATTTCACAACCACAAACATACTTAATCTCAATATGATTTTTTGAAAAAGCATCATATTCACTTTTTGATGATATACTAAATTTTGTCGCTAAATATATGTAGCATAAGTTATGATTCATAAATTAAAGTTACAAGTTTTAATTTTTTATTAAATCAAAACTTTGACATAATTTTATGATAAATATTTTATTTATGTTAAAAATTATTTCTAACCAAACATAATTACAACTTTACTTCAACTCATGAATTCCAAACCAACTTAATTCAATTTACAAGAAAACTCTCTTCTTTCTCTCAAAAGCCAATAAAATTCCTAATAAACCTCTTTTTAAGAAAACCAAAACTCCTTTCAATAAAACTGAAAACAATGGCACTATATTTTTTCGAAACATTTTTATGATATTTTTTGTTTTGTGTTGTGCTTTTAGTGTCGGTTGCACGGCTCGTCCCTTACTCAAACTAAACATACTTCGATAGCACCAACATAAACGGCCCATCTCTACAATACATCCGCAACAATTTTTGCTTCTATTGTCGCTTTTTTAGTATTACATGTGTTTCAAGATTATTATCACTCGCCATTGTTTCGTTTTCTTTTTTACATGAGAAACTCTTTCTTCTTGCATTGAAACCTTTATCTATAATTAGCCTATCATTGCAACCCCGCACTCTAGTATGGCTATGAGATCTTTAATGTCATTTGAAGAAAGATCAAGTCCTTCAATATTCTTTGTACTTGCATTTTTTTTTTATGAATGCCATATCAACATTCTCTACATTTATTGTGAAGGAAGCACACGTAGCCAAGATAGCACATACTTTGTTCGCTAAACAACTTTAGCTATGAGCAATAATAATTTTTTTCCTTTTTCCAAAATGCTTTGACAAATGAAACGACATGCTTTTCTATCTTTTAAGTTGACTATTTGGTCAAAACCCTACTAACCCCTCATTTTTGCTCTAACATTCTTGATATTGTCTTTCTTTCTTGCTTTTTTTTACTTTTTTTGCTAGTATCTTTCTTTATTGCTTTACTTAGATTTCATGCTATCGTTTCTCTTCTATTTTTGTTAGATTTCCTCTTGCACATCTATTATAAATAAAGAGGTTTCCTTTATTCTTAGAGAATATATCAAGATTCCGAAGAAAAAAAAACTAAAAAAAAAAGATGTATGTTTTTAAAAGAGACTTTTAAGCTTTAAAAACTTATTTGATTCATCAATTTATTATTTCATAAACACAAACATACTTAATCTCAATATGATTTTTTGAAAAAGCATCGGATTCACTTTTTGATGACATACTAAATTTTGTCGATAAATATAAGTAGCATAAGTTATAATTCATAAATTAAAAGTTAAAAGTTTTAATTTTTTATTAAATCAAAACTTTGACATAATTTTATGAAAAATATTTTATTTATGTTAAAAATTATTTCTAACCAAACATAATTACAACTTTACTTCAACTCATGAATTCAAAACCAACTTAATTCAATTTACAAGAAAACTCTCCTCTCTCTCTCTCAAAAGCCAATAAAATTCCTAATAAACCTCTTTTTAAGAAAACCAAAACTCCTCTTAATAAAACTTAAAACAATGGCACTCGTATTTTTCCGAAACATTTTTATGATATTTTTTGTTTTGTGTTTTGCTTTCGAGTGTCGGTTGCATGGCTCGTCCCTTACTCAAACTAAATACACTTCGACAACGACAAACATAAACGACCAATCTCTACATTAAATCCGTAACAATTTTTGTTTCCATTGTCGCTTTTGTTAGTATTGCATGTGTTTCAAGATTATTATCACTCACCATTGTTTCGTTTTTTTTTTTTACATGAGAAACTGTTTCTTCTTGGATGGAAACCTTTATCCATAATTAGCCTACCATTACAACCCTTCACTCTAGTATGGCTATGAGATTTTTGATGTCATTTGAAGAAAGATCGAGTCCTTCGATAATCTTTGTAATTGTATTTTTTTTATGAATGCCATATCAACATTCTCCATATTTATTGTAAAGGAAGCGAGACATAGCCAAGATAGCACATACTTTGTTCGCTAAACAACTTTAGCTATAAGCAATAATAATTTTTTTCCTTTTTCCAAAATGCTTTGACAAATGAAATGACATGCTTTGCTATCTTTTAAGTTGTCTATTTGGTCAAAACCCTACTAACCCCTCATTCTTACTCTACGAGTTCTTGATACTTGTCTTTCTTTCTTGCTTTTTTTTTTTTTTTTTACTTTTTTTGCTACTATCTTTCTTCATTGCTTTACTTAGATTTCATGTTATCGTTTCTCTTATGTTTTTGTTAGATTTCCTCTTATACATCTATTATAGATAAAGAGGTTTCCTCTATTGTTAAAGAATATGTCAAGATTCGGAAAAAAACTATATAAAAAAAAGGATGTGTGTTTTTAAAAGAGACTTTTAACCTTTAAAAACTTATTTGATTCATTAATTTATTATTTCACAACCACAAACATACTTAATCTTAATATGATTTTTTGAAACAGACATCATATTCACTTTTTAGTGACATACTAAATTTTGTCGCTAAATATAAGTAGTATAAGTTATGATTCATAAATTAAAATTTTTAAGTTTTAATTTTTTATTAAATCAAAACATTGACATAATTTTATGACAAATTTTTTATTTATGTTAAAAATTATTTCTAACCAAACATAATTACAACTTTACTTCAATTCATGAATTCCAAGCCAACTTAATTCAATTTACAAGAAAACTCTCCTTTCTCTCTCAAAAGCCAATAAAATTCCTAATAAGCCTCCTTTTAAGAAAACCAAAACTCCTCTCGGTAAAACTGAAAACAATAGCATTGTATGTTTCCGAAACATTTTTATGATATTTTTAGTTTTGTGTTGTGCTTTCGAGTGTCGGTTGCATGGCTCGTCCCTTTCTCAAACTAATTACACTTCGACGAGCACCAACAAGCAACGACCCCTCTCTACATTACATCCGTAACCATTTTCACTTCCATCGTCGCTTTTGTTAGTATTGCATGTGTTTCAAGATTATTATCACTAATCATTGTTTCGTTTTCTTTTGCACATGAGAAACTCTTTCTTCTTGGATTGAAACCTTTATCCAAATTTAGCCTATCATTGCAAACCTTTACTTTAGTATGGCTATGAGATCTTTAATGGCATTTGAAGAAAGATTGAGTCAATCAGCAATCTTTACAATTGCATTTTTAATGAATGTCATATCAACATTCTCCACATTATTGCAAGGGAAGCGAGACGTAGCCAAGATAGTACACATTTTTTTCGCTAAGCAACTTCGGCTATAAGCAATAGTAATTTTTTTTCCTTTTTCCAAAATGCTTTGACAAATGAAATGACATGCTTTTCTACCTTTTAAGTTGTCTATTTGATCAAAACCCTACTAACCCCTTCTCCTTGCTCTACGTTCTTGATACTATCTTTCTTTCTTACTTTTTTTTTAAAAAAAAAACTTTTTTGCTACTATCTTTCTTTATTACTTTACTTAGATTCCATACTTTCTTCATACTATCGTTTCTTTGATGTTTTGGTTAGATTTCTCTTGTACACCCATTACAAATAAGAATGGTTTTACTATTGCTAAAGAATCTATCAAGATTCTAGAAAAAAACTAAAAAGAGAAGGATGTATGTTTTTAAAAGAGATTTTTAAGCTTTAAAAACTTATTTTATTCATCAATTTGTTGTTTCATAGCCGTAAAGATACTTTATCTCAATATGATTTTTTGAAAAAGCATCATTTTCACTTTTTAGCAACATACTAAATTTTGCCGCTAAAGATAAGTAGTATAACTTACAATTTATAAATTAAAAGTTAAAAGTTTTATTTTTTTATTAAATAAAAATTTTGACTTAATTTTATGACAAATTTTTTATTTATGTTAAAAATTATTTCTAACTAAACGTAATTACAACTTTACTTTGAGTCATAAATTAAAAAAACAACTTAAATTAATTTGTAAAAATCATACTAAGTATAACCTAAGTTAAAAGACTTTAAGTTAAAGTATAGTTTATAAACTAGTAACTCAAATAATTTTTTTAAGTAAATTTGGTAAAAATTAAACCAAATCATTTTTTAAGTATATTTGATAAAAATTAACCCAAATTTATTTTTCTTTCTTTTTTTTTTCCTTCTAAAAACAGCAATAGTATAAGTCGGAATCAATAAGTGAAAAGTTAAAATTTTGACTTTTTATTAAATCAAATTTGTCTCAATTTTCTAACAAACTTTTGATTTAAGTTGGAAGTTATTTATATCCAAATATACTTATAATTTTTCTTTCATTTATAAATTAAAAAATAACTTAAATCAATTTGCAAAAATCATACTATACATGATAGAAGAATTCTTTTTCATGCCTCTTACTTAAATTATAAAAGATGAGCATATATACCTAATATAGAGTACCTTTTTCACCTAATAATTATGATTTTGGTCTAATCTTTAAAAAACATTCTAAAGTTTTCATGTAGGAAATTGTTCGATGTAGGTAAATAAAAATTAACAAAAAAATTAAAACAAAATGGATTTTTACTATTTATAATACTATTCACATACTCACAAATCACTATTCCTTTAACTATTCATAGCATTTTTGTAATTTTTAACACATTTTCAAGCATTTGGTAAGGAACTTTTATGCTTATAGGAATATTATGCTTTGGTCCTTAATTTTTTTATACATTTTTTTAAAATTTTAAACTTCAATTGTTTTGTGATTCGGTCCCTCGATTTAAAGAGGAGGGAGAAAAAGAGGAAGACAAACAAGGGGGGAGAGAGAGAGAGAGAGAGAGAGAGTACGACAAGGTCGCATTCTAGAAAGAAGATGCATCATTTGTTTTTTTGAAACTAACTAGCGCGAGCTTTGCATGGCTTTTTTTTTCCTCTTTTTTTTTCCAATGACTTTTTTTATTATTGATTTTTTTATTACAAAAAACATTAAAACAAAATAGGTTTGTACTATCCGAATACTATTCACATCTCACAAATCACTATTCATTTCACTATTTATGGTAATTATTGTAATTTTTAACACATTTTCAATCATTTGACAAAGCAACTTTCATATTTTTAGGAATATTATACTTTGGTCCTTAATTTTTTTTATATATATATTTTTTAATTTCAAACTTCAATTGTATTATGATTTGGTCCCTCGATGTAAATATGAGAGAGAAATAAAGGAAGATAAAGAAGGAGGGAGAGAGAGAGAGAGGTACAACAAGGCCTCATTTAAAAAAAAAATATGCATCATCTTTTTTCTTAAAACTCACTTGCACGGGCCTTGCTTGGCTTTTTTTTCTCTTTTTTTTCCAATGATTTTTTTTATTATTGATTTTTTTAATAAAATATGAAAAAGAGATCATAATTTTTTTCCACACAACCTCACATGAAAGGGATATATATTATATAATTTTATAATTTAGATTGAACATATATTCTAGATTATATTGCTTTTATTATTTAAAATTTACCACTTTAATTTGTTATTTTTTTAAAAAAATTCTCATCTAATTAATTTAAAAATATATTTATTGATAGTTTTGATTTATTTTTCTATATGTATGGATTTTGAAATAATTTTTTAGAACATGATTATTTTTTTTGAAAAATAGATTAATATAATTTTTAAATTGTAGTGACATAATATATATATATATATATATATATAGATTAAAAGTGTATTTCAAATAAATTTTTCTTGATATTTAAAAAAAGCCCAAATTTGTTAATTAATAATTGACAATTAAATGTGAAAAAAAAAAACATAGTTGGTTTGCTTATGAGGCTCGTATTCAAGGTCTAGCCATATATAGCATATACATAAAATAAAATAAAAAAATTAAGGAGGAAAAAAATTCACGTGTTTTATTTATTTTTTTATATAATCTTAATTTATTGAAATTATTTTTGTAATAATTTTTATTGTATTCTATTAATTTCAAATTTAGTCAATATATTTCTTACAAGTTAACTTTTTTTATTTTATTTATAGTGTTTTGTGTTTTATGCTGAAAACTCGAACCCACTTAGTATAGTTATAATGTATAAAAAATTATTGAATCATTATTTTTTTAGAAATTAACTATGCAACTACTATTACACTAAACATTTACTATTTATTTATTTATTTTTGAATATTTTAAAATTAATTTATTTTTAAATTAAATAATTAAAATTATGGCTTGGCTTAACCATTCAACGATTCGAATTAATATATTTTTTATGTTAATCTTATTCATTCTTTTGTTAATAAATATATAAAAATTAATTTTGCATTCTTTAAAAATCGATATTTTCATCAACATGAAATTAAACTAAAAAATTATTTTTTTATTTGTTTAATGCCATGTAAGTTTTTATTAATTGTTACTTTAGTTTTTTAACATAATCTTATGAAGTACTAAAAAAAATTTAAAAATTTTTATTTAATTTTCTTTTTAGTTAAGAATCCATGGATTAATAAGAATAAATCCTTTTTCTTATAAAAAATTATGAAAAACATAAATAAAAAATAATTAAATACAAAATTTTGATTAAAATGTTATATGTTTTTCAATTTTTAATTTTATATATTTTTATAATTTACACCATAACATATGCTGTCAAATTAAAATAAAATTTTAAATGATGTTATCTATTTTATTCAATTTACAATATAAAAAAAAACTAGTAATTATTTGCACTTTAATCGTACGCAACAGTTATTTATTATATTTTTTTAAAAAAATTGGCAAATAAAATGACATGCTTTTTAAGCTGTCACTTCATCAGAAAACCCTATTAACCCATCATTCGTGCTACACCGTTCACTCCATCTTAAAAAAATCATGCACTAACTGAACACAAACAAAGCCAACGCTGCCACCAGGAACCACCGACTTAACTCAAGGCGGATTCGACTCGTCCAAAATGGCCGAGTCACCGGCAGAACTAACCACCGAAAACCCGAATCCCACTCAGGACCAGCAACAGCCAACAGCAACACCAGAAGAACTCGTCGCCAAATCCGTAGCTCCAGTGAAACCACAATTCCTCCGTCCTCCACCTTCTCGAACCTCCCAAAACGACACCACATCATACGCCGTTTCCGATTGTAATAGTAATAACTCAAAATCCAATAACACTAACACTATCAGTTTAGTGGCCAAGGAGAAGAAGTCCAAACGACAACTCAAACGTGAACGCCAACAGGTCGTCTCTCCTTTTCTGATTTTCCGTTTCTTATATTTTTATTTGGTTGTGATATTTATTTATTATTTTTTTTTAAAAAAAAATCTCATTACAGGAAAAGAAGTCTGCAGTGAGTCTCTGCCCGGAATTAGCAAAAACCGGAGATGTTAATTCATGTCCGTATAAAACTAACTGCCGGTTCAATCATGACTTAGAAGGATTCAAGGCTCAGGTAATCGATTAATCAAATTACTCATTTACCATTTTTTATTATAATTTTACTTTGATTAAGAAATGCTATTGATGATATTGTGTAGAAACCAGAGGATTTAGAGGGAGAGTGCCCGTTTACGAATGGGGAAGGGTTGCGTTGTCCTTATGGATTGGCATGTAGATTTTATGGAACTCATAAGGATAACGATGTTGTTGGAAATGGTAAAAAGCGAAATTCGGAGATTAATGGGTTGAATAAGGATGTCCAAAAGCTTTTATGGAAGAATAAAATGAAGTTTCCAAAGGCGGATTCGGTACTCAAGTCTCTTGGGCTTATGGTAATGAATAAAGCATCAACAATGTTATTATTGTTGTTAAATTTGTTATATTTTCTTTTAATGTAGGTGATTTTTGTTGATTTGTTATCAAGGGACCAGGGAAATCGAAAGTGAAAAAGGTGGATGAGGAGGAAGTTGAGAAAGTCGATGATGATAATGTCTCTCATGGTACTAATGAGAATGGTTGTGGCGATGGGGGCAATGAGTCGGCTGGTAAATTGGATTGTGCTGTGGGAGTGCTGGCTGAAGATGATGTGGATGGAGTATTAAAAACTGATGAAGTTAGGCCCCTGAAGAAAGCGAAATCAGCTGTTGAAGAAAATGGTTGCATTGTTGAAGAAGTCAATGGTGGTTGTCTTAAACCTTTGCTACAAATTGGTGCATTTTTAAGAACTACATGTATCTTACATTGAATATATTTTGCAACAGGATTGAGTATCCCAGAGAAAAATATCGAGAATGGTTGTCCTATAGAAACTGAGCCAGAAGCCATAGCTGAGAATGTAGAAACAGATGGAAGTTTAAAATCACACCCCCGTGAAAAAATGCTTATCGACTTCAGAGGAAAGTTGTATCTTGCTCCTTTGACTACTGTTGGAAATCTTCCTTTCCGAAGGGTCTGTAAAGCGTTAGGAGCTGATGTAACTTGTGGTGAAATGGCAATGTGCACGAATCTGTTGCAGGTCTGTTTTCTACTTTGATAACTCGTTTGACATAACTTACTGGTTTGGTTTTCTCACTAAACAGGTTCCTTCTTCCCATGTTATAACATTTTTAATGCACGTATCTCTCAAGATCTAATTTAGCTTTCCCTAAGTAATGTAGTGTTTAGCTTGCCATTGTCACTGTCAGGAATGTTTATGGTGTGGATCAATTGCAGTTGTCTGCCCATGATAGCCAATAATGTATGTGTTATAACACTTAACATGCTGACAAAAGAAAGTATTGGGTTCGGTTAAAATTGAAAATTTCTAACTCCATGATGTGGTTGTTTTGTCTTTGCTGCTTCTTTCCTGTAATACTTTCTTTGAGTTCTGGGTGATTCTTTACTCTATGCTGTGCACTATTAGTTTGATTTAACACCTGGAAAATTTCTTGACCTAATTTGCTGTTGATTATAGGGTCAAGCTTCAGAATGGGCACTGATGAGACGTCATTCATCTGAGGATTTATTTGGTGTTCAAATATGCGGGTCTTATCCAGATACAGTTACACGTACGGCGGAGCTTATAGATCAAGAATGTACTGTGGACTTCATTGATATAAATATGGGTTGCCCAATTGATATTGTTGTCAACAAGGGTGCTGGGTCGTCTCTTCTTACAAAACCAATGCGGATGAAAAGCATTATAGAAGCTGCTTCTGGTACAGTGGAAAAGCCTATAACAGTCAAGGTAATAATTAATATTCGTTCTAACCATACCGATGCAACTATGTTGTTCTGCAACTTTATAGCTCAGATTTTCATTAGGAAATGCCAACTTTTGTTTTCTGCTTGTGTTTCTAGCATGCAGCCTGTGTTACTCTCAGGCTTCTCTGACCAAGCTTAATTTTGACAGTTCATACTGCATTTTCTCGATGCAGGTGAGAACGGCTTATTTTGAAGGAAAAAACCGCATTGACTCATTAATTGCAGATATTGGAAACTGGGGAGCCAGTGCTATAACAATTCATGGCCGATCACGTCAACAACGTTATAGCAAGCTTGCTGATTGGGACTACATATTCCAATGTGTTAAAAAGGCCCCAGATACTTTGCAAGTTCTAGGAAATGGGGATGTCTTTTCATATGTTGATTGGAACAAGCACAAGTCTGACTGCCCTGAGCTTTCTTCATGCATGATAGCTAGAGGTGCACTAATTAAGGTTAGAACTCTGGAGATATGACTTGTTGATTTCAACATTTTTTATGTAATTTTTACCAGACCATATTCTTGTTTCCCCAAAATTACGCTTTGTAGTCTTAAGAATAATATTCACTATATTTTGCAGCCTTGGATTTTTACTGAAATCAAGGAACAGAGGCACTGGGACATAAGTTCAGGAGAGCGATTGAACATTCTAAAGGATTATGTGCGTTGTGGCCTTGAACATTGGGGCTCTGACACAAAAGGTATATGTTATTGGCCAAACAAGCAATTTTGTACTGAATGGGTGATTGGGAAAAAAGGTTTCAATGTAACAGCAATTCCTTGTTTCAACATCTGCAGGAGTGGAGACGACTAGGCATTTCTTGTTAGAATGGCTCAGCTATACATGCAGATACGTACCTGTAGGTCTTTTAGATGTCATCCCACAGCGGCTCAACTGGCGTCCACCCTCATACTATGGTCGTGATGACCTTGAAACACTCATGGCTTCTGATTCTGCTGCAGACTGGGTATGTGCAGTTCTCTAAACATATCTTAATGATCAGTGCCACTGTAAGCGTTGTTAACTTGCTCCAATTTTTACAGATTCGCATCTCTGAGATGTTGCTTGGCCGAGTTCCGGATGGCTTTACATTTTCACCAAAGCATAAATCAAACGCTTACGACCGAGCAGAGAATGGCTAAGGCGTGGCACTTAATTTTCATCAGGAAACTAGTCTGAGCAAAATCCATTTTCCATATCTGTAACTCACTTCACTTGATTCTAGGGTTTTATGCTGGCGTCTTCTACACTTGCAAGGGCTTTTTGTTGCTCCTTTCTTGTAGCAACGCAAGCACTCATTTTTAACAATTGCCAGTATTTTTAAGCGGAAGAAGGTTGTTGTCCTCACCTGAATTTTGTACCATTTGTTTTTCTTCAGTCTGAAACATTGCATTTTTAGAAATGAATGGCATATGATTTTACTTTAGTTATTTGGCGCAAAGTTAAGGAAGTTGTGGTGTTTTGAAGCTCGGGCGTGTTTTGGCTCGATTGGTTTGCCTATAGACTCGTGCTATTCATCCTCTTCACATCAATTTCTAGTTTAGTCTCCGGAGATTACTTAAGTATAACAGGGCTGGACCTGTGAGGCAGGTTTGGTAAGCACATTATAAAAAATGAATAGCAGGACTGACATTTGGCAGTCAAGGTAACAAGAAGCTGCTAGAAGCATCTAAATACCAAAAAGTAAGACCTTCAACTAATCTCTCTCCTCTGTCGTTGGAACGGCCAACAATAACAGGTGATTTAACCCCTCGGGGCCGAAAGAGAACTTTTGCTTTGGGTGAAAAATCGTCGTCAACCATTTTCCTTTGCTTAAAGTGGCAACCTTGATATGAAAAACATACACACAGGCAAGTTCCACGAGAGTTGATTTGATGGGGGAACCTGAAAGTCACCACCAAAAAAAAAAAAAAAAAAAAAACAACAAGGTATGATCTTAGCTAACCCTGGCACGTCAAACCGTTAACAAGTCACCTGATTATGATACCATCTAAGTTTCGTGGGACCAAAAGCAGTTCAGGACATCATTATCACTTCTTCAACAAGCGCTCCCATTTGAAATTATCAAAATTTGTCCTTAGTGGGCATATATATATATATATATATGAACGAACAGTTTCAGTTCAATTCAGCCTGAAAAAAGAGATAAAAGAACACTAATATTTCACAGGATAAATTGGGTAGTTGCAGAATTTCCTTCCCCACTGGTTTAACAAAAAACATAAAAATAAAAATAGAAGTTTTTACTCTTGGATGTAGCTAGAAATAATTAGAAAATAGATGCCACATGCAGAACCAGAATGCCATTCAGCATCATCAATTATATGAACGACTAGACTCACTCCCATTCATCACAAGCAGCACTTGTAACCAATAAAAAATTGTACCAATTTTGAGTGACTGATGCATGCGGAGATGCTGAATTTCTATATGAAAAAGATGACCCAAAAAGGAAACGAAAACAAGTAACTAGAGATTCAAAAACTATCACTATTGGAATTTTGAAGGAACACCTATCCCTGTAAACACATGCCATGTTAATGCCGATACACCATTAATAAAAAAAAATCAAACCAAGCACTTTTAGGATTAAATCTTGCAAAATTTAAAAGACCAAACAAAATTGCATAGCTTCTAGATTTGGAACCTTGATTAATCCAAGGCAGCACTAAGAGATTGTATCGAGATCGTTAGACAAATCATCTACCACCTGACGACTTCACTTATAAATAACCATTACTCCTGCTGTCTACACCCAAAATCCTTCAATTCGGCAAATCGGAGCTGTTGCAAACAATATATATCATGTCAAAGAAGACTACTTCCCGATTTCACTGACTTTCTGCACATCCTGATTTAGGGGTGTTTGCACCCAGCCCCCATCGATGGATGCTAGACTTCCATTCAATCCATCATCCACAAAATCACCGACCCTTTTCACCTTAACTTCCTTTGGCTGAACAGGGTAATTCCCAGAGAAGCAAGCATAACAAAAATTTGGAGAATCATCAGCCAACAATTTCTTCAAGCTATCAATCGGCAGGAATGCAAGCGAATCACATCCAATAAACTCCCTGATCTCCTCCACGCTCATTCTGTTAGATATCAGTTCCCCAGAACTTGGTGTATCTACTCCATAGTAGCAAGAAGCTATAATTGGTGGGCTAGCAATCCTCATATGGACCTCCTTAGCCCCAGCCTCCTTAAGCAACCTAACAATTTTTGATGAGGTAGTTCCTCTCACAATTGAATCATCCACAACTACAACTCTCTTCCCCTCCAAGACTCCTCTCACAGGTGATAGTTTAAGCTTAACACCAAAGTCCCTAATCTTCTGAGATGGCTCAATGAAAGTCCTCCCTACATAATGAGATCTTATCAACCCTTGTTGAAAAGGGACACCTGCTTTCGCTGCATAACCAAGTGCAGCCACCACCCCGGAATCTGGGACAGCAATCACCACATCGCAATCAACAGGAGCCTCGGTAGCAAGTATTTCCCCAAAAACATGCCTTGACTCATAAACAGACCTACCAAATACTACTGAATTAGGCAAAGAAAAATAAATATGCTCGAATATGCACTGTTTCGGTTCAGGGTGGGGCATTAGGCAAAGAGATTGAACCCCGTCTTTATCCACCACTAAAACCTCACCAGGATAAACCTCTCTCTCATATGTGGCCTCAATCAAATCAAGAGCACATGTCTCAGAAGCAAACACAACAGCACCATTACTCCGCCTTCCCATCACCAAAGGCCTAAAACCAAAAGGGTCCCTCACAGCAACCAACTTATCCTCGGTAACAAACACCATAGAATAAGCCCCTTCTAGCTTCTCGCAAGCATCAACAATCCTCAAAAAGAAAGGCCTAGTCTTTGATGTAGCAATCAAATGCAAAACAACTTCAGTATCAGAACTAGTATTGAAAATTGAACCATTATCTTCAAGCGAAGCCCTTAATTTCCCATAATTCACTAAGTTCCCATTATGCGCAACCCCAACAGAACCAAACCTATAACCAGCAACAAAAGGTTGCACATTTTTTAGCATCGAAGCCCCAGCAGTTGAATATCTAACATGACCAATGGCTAAATCACCAGGTAATTGGTCAAGTTTTGACTCATTAAACACCTCAGAGACTAAACCAACACCAGTAACAGATTGCAAAACCTTATTTTCATTAACAGCAACAATACCAGCTCCTTCTTGACCTCTATGTTGCAAAGCATGAAGGGCTAAATAGCAAAGACGTGAAGCTTCTGGGTCACCATAGATACCCACAACACCACACTCTTCACGAGGCTTATCGTCATCATCATCGAAATAAGAAGAAAAATCATCTGGGCTCCTTTTTTCTTTTGACAAAAGGTCAGAGATTGGATTTTTAGAGGAAAGGCTGATGTGGGTTTTGTGGGTAGTGTGAGAAAGGCAAGGTTTTTGAAGGGTTTTGGGGAGGAGAAAAACAGGGGCCTTTTGGGGTATTTGAGAGTTAGCGTTTGAATAAAGAGAAGGCTTTGAGAGAGTAGAGAAACTCGTGGTGGCGGTGGCTGCCATAGATGGAGGAGGAGAAAAAGCAAGGCGAGCTTGTGTTAAGCGACCGAGAGAGAGAGAGAGAGAGAGAGAGAGAGAGAGGGATGGGGGGCTGCGAGGGAGACAGTGAAGGAAGCCTGGGAAGTTTTGAAAGTAGTTTTGGTTAGATTCTAGGTTTTGGGAGACTTGTGGAAGGGGTATAAAAGTACTTGTGCTTTTCTTTTGTTTTGTGGGCACCTCGCGCCTAGAATGTTGCTATTGGAAAAAAAGAAGAAGAAGAAAGGTCGTAATTGCGCTTCAGAGTTTAATCATCTCTTTCTCCCTCAAATACTTTATAGTTAGTGGAGAAATCCTCTCTTTTTGAGGATTTAGACTCTCTAATCCGAAAAGGAGGAGGAGACTTTGGTTTGGATTTACTTCTTAAAAAAATTAAGTTTAGAATTAGTATTGATTACGTTTTGTCATTATGTGAAACCAATGCATTCAAATTTCTGGATAGTCCTTTTTTTATTGCTGGATTCTTCTTTATCGTGACAAGAATTAAAAAAATTATATATATATATATATATATATATATATATATATATATATATATTAAACAATTTTTTCTTAAAAAAAGCTCTATAATTCTTGTAATATGCTTTAGAAATTAGAAATATTATTTTTGGAGATGAAGGCTAAAAATACATCATGTGGTATAAAGACAAATTGATGTTAAATGCACCAAATTGTCACACACAAAATTGACCAAATATACATGAATTTTAATTTAAAAAAACTTTGAATATGTTAAATTCCATTTTTGGTTGGAGATTGTAAATATAGATAGTTTCCTCAAGTACTGTACTGTGCTGTGTTTATAGAGCAAGAACAGTCCACTCTATGGTGGGTCCAAGATCCTGGATTGAGCCAGTCAAGCAACCTTTTTTGCCCCGCGAGAATAGGAGGAGTCACGTGCTTGAAGCATCTGTATTATGATTGGGCCACGCATCTATTGTAGATAAACCTCCTCCCTTCGATTTTGCTGAACTTGGCAACTTGAATATATGTACCATAACTACATTCAATTGCCCCACTCCTTTTTGGTATGAAAAATTGGCATAATTAAATTATAAATTAGTCCTCTGTTTTTCAAAAATAAATTAATAAATTCACTTTAGATTAGTCCATCGATTACTGTAAAAATATTTTTAATTTAATATTATTTTATTTTAAAAATATCTTCTTTTCTCATCCAACTTCCTATGGTTTTTACTTATTTTTTATTAAAATAAAAAATTAAAATAAATTGAAAACAAGTAAAAATATTAGGTTACAAAAAGATTTAAATTAAATAATTACTTTTGTAACAAAAAAATATTTTTTTAAAAAAACCAATTAATTATAGAGTAAATAATTTAATTCATAATTATTGCTTGATGCTTCCTTGTATTCCATACAATTTGTAGAAAATTCGTTCAATCTCTTACTAGTTTTTTTTTCTTTTTATTTTTAACTTTTAAATCCATCATAAAATCATCTATTCATTTTGTGATTGATAAATTCAAGATTGAAGATTTTAGAGGAAGAAGAGACTTTTGTTTTTAGAACAATAAAAATCCTTGCAAATACTTTTTAGAGAAAAAACATTTTAGGAACCGAAGTAATCTCATTTTAGAGGAGAAAATATATAAATTTGTTAAAAAAAAAAACGAAGGAAACTTCCATCCTCACAAGAGTAAATAAATATGTTGCCCATATTTTTTAAGAATATAAAATTTTAACTTGTAGGGACGAAACTGAATTTATTTAAGGGACAGGGGAAAAGTTTTTAATTTTCGTAGGCCATAGGCCCCATAGCCCTGCTTGTCCTCTTTCTACTGTAATTTTAGCTGAGCTGATTCACTGAACTCTAGCTCTTTGTGTATTAGAGAGAGAGAGAGAGAGAAGGTGTGGAGGGAAAAGTCATGCTCTAAAGGACTAGCAGCTGTCTTTGAAAGTGAGTTCTAATTTTGTAAATGCCAAGAGAAATGGGTAATGAATGTACAGAAAACAAAGAAGATTCTCACCGTTCAAGACAAGAATGGACATCCCCCCCCCCCCACAACATCACTCTTCAAAACCCAACCCAAAGTCACTTGAAGTTGAATCTCTTGGCAACAATTGGATTGGAGAGAACCTGAGCCCACTCACTGACTGGTACTTTGATAAAGAAATATATATATATATATATATATATATATATATATATATATATATCACGAATGAATCATGAAAATTTGCATTTTATTTTCTATTTTTCATAACAGATAATCAATGGGCACAGCTTTCTTTCTGCTAAAAAGAAAAAAATAATAATACAAAAAAAAAAAGAAGAAAATGTCACTATCTTCACAATTAAAAATTCTTGACATGAATTTCCAAGCAATTTTCCCTGTACGAGTACTTGGAATGGGAAAAGGCCATAAACGTATAAAACTGAACAATCTGTCAAAAGTCTACGCCCTTTTGTGGCAGAACAGTGGGTCAAAAGTTCAAAATTTGTGCTTGGATAACACTCGAGGCTTGAGCCAAAGATCAACCTGTTCTCTTGATTATGTTCTCTGATCTCACCTATCTTTAAAGCACACGGTTTCATCAAAATGTTTGCGCATCTGGCCATGACCCTCTTAAAGGAACCAGTGAGGAGAGGGAAAAACCGCATTAGAGAAGTGTGTATTGAGAAACAGATACAGAACTTGAATGATCTGGATTAAGGTACAGAACATTATATGATGTACAACAAAGCAGAAAATAGTCATGCAAACTGATAGATAGTCCAACAAGTAAACTGCTGAAGTGTCTACTAAGAAACAAGTTTCCCAGACATCAACTTGTCAATAATACTAAGATCCCACCACAACTTTCTCTATAATGATAGCCTTCTGCTCCTTGAGCTCATCAACCTTCCTGCCCAGATCAAAGGCTCCAAAACCTTCCTAAATCTCCCTAACCTATTTGCTAGATAATCAATTCCAAAGCCCAGATCCCTCACACTCTAGATAGTACATGCAAGAAACTCCAGTTCCTCCTGAGTCTGATATTGGCATCACTACCAATAGCCAGAACCTCTCCAAGTAAGCCAAGAATAAAAACCCAAACGAGGTTCATGGACGGGAATGCCACTCCAGAACTCACCATCCTTGACATGGAACTTGGCAAGGCCGCGAACATAACACTCTAGCACAACAAAACTTTGAAAATCAATCCACATATCTCCACCTGGACGCACCTCAGAAGCCCCTGTTCCATCCAAAGTGGATGTGTTAAGACACTTTGAGAGGGAAGGTACGCTGCTCAACTGTTGAAGGATCCGAATTCATCACAACATTAATGTGCTCAATAAGAGGAGTTCCAGGTCCCCTTGAAGAAGGTGGTATGCTAAATCCCAGTTACCAGCAATGGGAAAATAGACCTCTGCTCAATGTTCACCCCTACCTGCCTAGCAGGAACCATCTTCTCAACGGTCTCCTCTTTCAGATGTATAGTTGTAGTAGTATCTAACCCACCATGGGCACATCATCAATGTTCCAACCAAGGGGTATAACCCCTCTGGGTTCTCTGTAGCCATCTCTTCAGCAATCTCCTCTCTGGGATGTGTAATGGCAGTAGCATCTAAGTCGCCAAAGTCAACAAAATCCACACTGTTCATAGGATCGCCAATCTCACATAACTGTAAAGCATATGTTGGTTCTTCAGAAGGTTTCTGCATCTGCCTACAAGCAAAGGGACCAATGACTAACATAAAAAAGCCACATCATAAAGTGTGCATCAGGAATAAATTACTGGGACTTGAATAATACAGATCAAGGAAATAAATTGATGATTTTTACATGTTAGCAGGATGATGACATTTCATAACACCGTGATGATTAACAATTATCCATTCAAAATCTCAAATGCCAAAAGTCCAAAACAAGACAGACATGTGAGTCTTATAACCTTTGCAGAAAGGTGTTCCAAACTAAATCAGATTCTCAGAATATTCTTCGGTCAGGGCTAAATTTCTGTTGTTCAGAGAATAGACTATGAGAAAAAGATATCACGACTTGAATAATCATGATAGAAATAAATAGACAGTTCCTATGACTCATGAGGTTAATAGGAAAAGCAGGATTTCATCCCTGTACTTCAAAAGAGTTTTACCAGTAACTTCAGAACGAAACTTGCATCTAGTATTAGTTGATTGCTCCAGAATCCAGAGAGTACAACTCCAGAAACTAACGAAAATTTACTTTTATTGCTTATATTGTGATGATTAACTAACTTACCAGCTATTCAAAATTCCACATGCCAATAGGCCCAATATAAAGGGACATCGGTCAACCATTGCAGAAAGGAGTTCCACTCTGAAAAGGACGACCACATTCTTCGAACATGCTAAAACATTGATGTTCTATTAGCCACCGAAACACCCTACCTATTCTTTGAGCCTTTTAGCTCAAACCAGTAGATGAAGGAAAAAATAAAAAAAAAAAAAAAACATAACTGCTGATTCAATTCATAGAGAACTTGATTCACAACAGGGGACAAAATCTTATTCCAACTTTTAAAGAAAAAGCAACAAATTACATCCACAATAAGAAGAAGTTCTAAAAAAGATACAAGCAAGTATAGTTCCTAAGAAATGAAATTTATCCTTTTTTTTTTTTTGAGGTGCTAAAGTCAAGTAATACGATATGGTTCATCATTCATGTAATAGCTGTAAAAATAGAAGCTGGATGGCAAAACATAATTTCCTCTAATTCTTGTGTTTAAAGAGAGTACTAGATAATACAGAGTTCTTAGCATCACAATATTAAACCCATCAAGAAATATAGGCGATCAATCCTAACGATTCACACATTGTAAATCTACAATCTTCTATCTAGTCATGAAGGAGAAGCTACGTAGTTACCAGAAAGTCATTCCGTATGAAAGTAGCGGACTCCCAGTGGGATATATTTTATCTTCAAAACGGAGAAAGCTTTTCACAGAAACTGACCTGGTCGCCGCCATGCTTGGCGGAACTGCAATCGGAGAAGGGAGAAGCAGCTTCGAGGAAGGTGGCTTTGCCAGTGACGCGGCACTTTTATGCTGGTGTTCGTGATCACCGGAGACCTGGCTTTTGGGCGCTCCGCGGGCGCGGATAGCATATGGATGATGGTGCTTTGGTGTATACACTCGTACGGGAATTTGTTGGTATCAGTGACTAGGAGCGTAGGTGGATGATATCTGGTATTTAACAAAATTGAGATGTATGAGAGCTTAAAAATAATAACCGAGAAGAACAATAAAATTACACAAGATGCCGTTGTCTGTGTTGTGATTTGCTTCGTTAACTACTTTTCGTCATAGTATATCATTAGCCGCTTACTCGCACTACGCTATCGATTCAATAAATTTTTTTTTTAATTTTAATTTTTTTAATTAATTTTTTAATGTTTTTTTATAAATTTTTTGTTTAAAAACATAAATCATTCTTTTTTTATTGATTTAAAATAAAAAATGTAATAACTTTAATTAAAGTATTAATTAAGAATTTAAAAAAACTTTAAAAATATAATTTTCATAATATTATATTCGAAAAAATAAATTTATAATTAATTGATAGACTTTTACAAAAATTAACAAATAAAAAAGAAGAACATAAATTGATGAAAAGAAAAAGAAAAAAAAACCATGTATTGTCCATCAGCTAGAAAATTAAAATTTTTATTTTAAAATTTTAAGTGAAACAACTCTGAAAATTAAAAAAAAAAAAAAAAGACCTAGATTGATAAAAAAAAAAAAGAAAAAAAATAAGGAAAAGCATGTACAATGAAACAACTTGAAATTAATTTTTTAATGTTTTTTTATAATTGTTTTGTTTAAAAAACATAAATCGTTCTTCTTTATGGATTGATTTTAAAATAAAAAATATAATAATTTTAACTAAAATATTAATCAAGAATTAAAAAAATAAAAAATATAATTTTCATAATATTGTATTACAAAAAATAAATTTATAATTAATGGAAAGACTTTTATAAAAATTAACAAATAAAAAAAAACATAAATTGATAGAAAAAAGCAAAAGAAAAAAAAGACATGTGTAGTGCATCGGCTAGGAGATTAAATTTTTTTAAAAAAATTTAGAGATCAAAATGAAACAATTTAAAAATTAAAAAAAAAAAAGAATCTAGATTGATGAGAAAAAAAAAGCAAAGGAAGAAAAAAAAAAAGAAAAAGAAATAGCATGTATAGTGAAATAACTTAAAAAAAAAAAAAAAAAAAAAAAAAAAAAACCCACAAACTTTGCTACAGAGAATGAATAATGTTTTGTGAGGGGTGACAAGTGATTTTCACCATTCAAACCCCTCACATATTTTAGTTTATAGAAATATAAATAATTTTTCGTTTAGTTTTTATTTTTTTTAGATTCGAGTTACAAGAGTGTTTTCGAGCTGATTTTTATGTATATTGAAATTAATTTTTATCTAAATTTGATTAAAAAAATATTTTTTAACATATATTTTTGGATATTTTGAACTTTCAAAAGTGCTGGTTACAAAAATTGAGTTCGAATCTGGTTTATAAATTGATATTTGTTTTACAATGGACTATCCCTAATAGTTTTTTTCTTTTTATTCTAGTACTATATAGTTTTTTGAAACTCAAATATAAGTTTTTTTCCCCGTATATAGCTTTTAATCGATTATTTTTATTTAAATTGATGTATGAAAAAAAAATTAGATCTCGAAATATAATAATTCAAATTTATTTTTATTATAAAAATTAATCAAAAATTTTAAACTCCAGCTTAAATTCAAGTGCCATCCCTAAATTTTTAATAAAAATAATATCTTAAGTTTTGACTTTAAGATGTATAAAGTGTCCCTCTAAATATAAGGTCAAAAATGGTATATGGTTAACTAATCTCTCCACAAATTTTAGTTAGAAAAAAAGAAAAGAAAAGAAAAAGAAATACTCATATTATTTACCACTATAATTGACTTCGTGTTGTCCGGCAATCCCACCTTCCAATAAGCTTACATCCAACGGCTGGCGCTGATAAAATCTAGGAAGCTCCACTACACTTGAGCGTACTGAATTAAAGACTTTTATAAAGCAATCACAAAACACCAGTAAGTGTCTAACATCAGTCCAAAAGACATCGAAATCTAGGGCTCGTAAAGAAAGAAAGAATCGATTAATTTGCAGGTTATCTTCTTTCTGAAAGAATCTCCAATGGCGCCGCCTCCTGGACCTTACTCCGGCTCCAGCACTCTAGCTCTGGTAAACTTTCTCCCTACCACTCTCTGTTTGGTTCTCTAGAAAATGCAAGAAAATGGAAAAAAATAAATTGGAAGTCAAAATCACCCCGATCTTAAAATTTACATATTGTCGTAACAATGTTTTTATTTATTAAATTTGGGTTTTTTTAGGTGGCTCGTGTTTCTGCTTTCTCTTTCGGTCTCGTTTACGGGAGTGTGAAGCTTAAGTATCTCAAGGTACAGTTTCTTTGCTTCTTCTGTTTTCTTTTTGTAGGAAGTCAACAATTTGAAGCTCAAGCAGGGTCTTTTATTTGCCAAGATGATTGCTTTATTATGAATTAGGAGTAACTAATTATTGGGAAATGACAGTTAGCTTGAGAAATTGAGGGGAAATGTGTTGATTAGATATACATAAGTTAGCTTTGTATTAGTAAAAATGCGTTGATTAGATATACGCAAGTTAGCTTTGTATTAGTAAAAATGAACTCATTTGACCAATGGATTTAAGGTTCTAATTGCTATGCGTTCAAGTTAGTTTGACAGCTTGGCGGGATTTGTTTTTATTTCCAATGGAAATTATAGATTGGAAGATGCATTAAAGAAACAGCATGATTCATGGCAGGAAAATCAGAAACTTTGATTTTGAGTGGGGTCGCACAAATTTAATGGTCCTGATTCTGGATCATACCCTACTCAACTTGCAGTCAGTGTTGTTAAATAAGATAAGGGAATTCATGGGTGATTGCTGAACTCATAAGAATCGAGATTCTAAAAGACAGTGAGTAAAAATTATGTTGGAATTTCAATGATGACAAATCTGATCCTTTTCTTCTTATGTGTTTGAACACCTTATTTGTTTTGCCTGAGAGGTGTTATCTCAAGGCTGAAATTATCTTCACATATAGCTGTAGCAATGTTTCTGTTGGTTGAGGTTGTATCCTTGTCTTACAACATGCTGTCATTCTTATATTCTTTTGCCAAGGAAAACTTATAGTAATATTTTTAAAGGCTAGAATATGATTCTATGAAGAAATGCTTCTAAGCTTATTGCATTTGTCTTCATTTTATAATTGTTGGTTGCTGTATATCAAGTAACTCTTTCACAAGGACATTTAATCTTTGTCTTTTCTTGTCCATTTGATGTGGTGTTTATCTCGCATGCCCTGCAGTTTACACCACACTGACTTTTTGCTCGTGATTGATTTTATATTCTTACGTAGTGGCTTTTTATTTTTAAATGCAGGCTAAGGCAAAGTCACAAAAGAAAGCTGAAGAAAAGGCAAAGGCAAAGGCTAATCACTGAAAAAAATAGTTTTGTTGAATATTAGGATCGAAATGAGTTTGTTGACAAGAAATAATGCATATCAACGGCTCTATATCAGTCTTTCATCATGGTGTACCGCTTTTCTGCACCATGCTGCACTGCATCTGTTTCTTTAAAGTTTTTTTTTTTTTTTTTTGGCGCAAGTTGTTGACTTAGTTTGTGAGATTTGTTTTCTTGATCAGCCCCGCTCATCATGAAGGATGTTAATTTTGTCCTGCAAAAAATGGATAAATGTTGGAAGATTGAATCTTCCCCATTGATTAAAATAATTATCTTTGTGTCTTTGCGTTTTCGCAGATCCTTTTTCATTGTTTTAACAAATGGTTTGATCCATCCTTAAGCTGTCGTATCGATCTATGTGGTTGAAGTTTGAGTTTTTGAAGAATTCCCTCTTCTCTTTGATGATTTCCCTGTTTGTGATAATGTGATTTGTTGATTTTCTCACTTCCCTTCTCGTTTCATTAATTTGTTTCCAATTGGTCAGGGAAAAAAAGAGTGTTTCCTTCCTGTCGTGTAATTTGTCTAAGAGTTGTTCTCGTACCAGGCAAGGCTGCGGTCTACATTGATAGGCTTCATGCTAGCTAGAACAAGAAATCAGCAGACAAACTTCTTCAGTTTCTTCAGCCACACCAATTCCTCATGGTGATTCATATTGGCCTTGTTCTTATTCAAAAACTCAGCCAAGCTAGGGTTAGTCCCTCTGATCTCAAGAAATCTGTGCAAACCATACTGCAACTGTTCGCTTAGAGCCTTGAAAACAGAAAAGATGAATCATTAACATGACACCAAGTAATTATGGACACCAAGTAATTTAGACCAATAAAGAACGAGGAAAAGGATCACTTACCAGAAGCCTTGTCCTTCAACAATATCTGCAGAATTATTTTTCTCCTTAATTGTCGAGGATTGAATTGAAATTTCTTCTGAGGAACCTGTAGCATTAAGTTCTAAACTGCTTCCAGATTCTGATACTTTCACAGCCATTGGGAAGCCAGATTCAGTGCATTCATCACCGTGGTCGCTACCAGTGCAGACACTCCTGACTATCCTCCTGATCAGTATAATCACCAGAATTATTGTTGGAATCATCACTATCGTCGTCGTTGTCACTTTCAGCTTCACCATTCGGAGCATCAGAGCTGCTACCAGTATTAGTTTCAACATGAGACATTTTAACTTCTACTTTGACGATTCCATTTGGATACTCCCTTGCCAGTAAAAAGGTCTCTTCTTCGACATTCTTCTCAAACTTTGAAAGGAAATCCTTTTGGGATGTCTTTTTACATGCTTTTTTGAACAAATTTGTAAGCACATGTGATCAAGAATTGAGATACAAATCGAGTTACAGACCAAAAAAAGGTGTAATAAATTATTTAACAAGACTGAGGGAAAGAAACAAGAAACAAGTGGAAAATGGTATCGTTAGACAAGAAAAGCTCTGGCAATTGAATGGTTTTTTCAGAAGATTAATTTTTGTATCTCACATCTTAATTTTCTTGTCATTACATCATATACACTATAAATATACCAATTTTTAAGTTCTTTTAGTTGATTACATAAGCTTTAAAGTTTGAGTACACCAACATCTTCAAAACAGCTAATCAAGTATTTTTCGTTTAATTTCTATCAATTGCTCCAATAACGTGTTCTTTTTTCTAAATTATTTAATTATGATTTTATTATTTTATTTTTGGAAGTAACTTTTTCTCTCAAATTATTTTGAGAGACAAATAATTGATTGAAAAATTTTAAAAATTTAAATATTCAAATAACAAAAATTAAAGTTCATACAGAGAATTCGAACTTACTTCACTGAAAGAAACTATCAAATACACAATTAATATATTATGTTTGCTTGTGTTGACGTTTTTTTTTCTACACTATTAAATTATGATTTTGTCATTTTATTTTTAGAAAAAAGTTTTCCTCTCAAATTATTTTGAGACATCAATAGGTTTGAAAAAAAATTGTATATTAAAAAAAAAATCATATATAGTTAATCAAATATGGCTACGGCAATCCATGTACCAACCCAAAGGCTTCCTACTTAAAACTATAGTCGCCTATATATGTTGCACAAGTACTGCACCTTGTCATTGATTAAAATTTTCAAAGATAAGTTCCATGTAAATTTTACGAGGACAGAAGTTATTGAAAAGTAAAGTATAATGTTTATAGTCGGATATTATCAAGCAATCACAGGGAGGAAGGGTATCTACAATCCCTACCAAGTAATGCTATTTTCCTCCCGAATATTCACCCGAATTAGTTTTCTCATATATATATATATATGTAGTAAAGAAGTGTGAAGACTTGTCTTGCATACTTAAATTTATTTTTTGTATTACAGATTGTATTTATAGCTTACAAAAATACATGATAGCTTTAAAATATTTAATTCGAACTGCATATAGCTATCTATTAGTTTGTTTAAAATACAACAGCCTGCTAATCTTTACGAACAACCAGATGCAACAGAACTACCATTCCTGAGAGCTGGTTGGCTTTAGGTTGTCAAGATTTACGCATATAAATTGAGGGATAAAAGTTTTTGGAGCTTAAAGAGCACTAGCGATAGTGCTTGGTATTGGAAAAGGCTTCTTAAGCTTAGAGATTTGGCTTGGGATCAAATTCAGTATTTAGTTGGTAATGGAAAGTCTATACCATTCTGGTGGGATAATTGGCTTCCTAGTGGTGTGTTAATTAAAGGTAGTGGTCTAAAAATAATCTTTGAATCTGGTTTAAGCAATGATGTTAAATTGTGTGCAAAGATGGTGAGTGGTGCTGGGCTAATGCCAGATACAGGTGTAATGGTTAAAATTCAAGGAGCAATTTGTGATGGTGTTATTTGAAAAGCAGATCCCCATGGAAATTTCTCTATCGAAAGTGCGTGGGAGATTGTAAGGGAGAGTTTGAGAATTAGCTAGCATAAACTGGTTTGGGATTCTCTTCATATCCCAAGGCACAGTTTTATTATATGATTGGCAGTGCTTAATAAATTATCAACTAAGGTGAGACTGATAAAGATGGGTAGAAACATTAGTGCTTGTTGTGTTTTATGTGGTAGCGATGATGAAAATCGTGACACCACCCCCCCCCCCCCCCCCCCCCCTCTTTTTTTTTTAATTGTACGTATTAAAAAAACTGTTCTTGCAAACATTATATAGAAATTTGGGTTGGTTGGAATGATTGGCAATCGGGCAACAGAATTTACATGGGCAATTGTAAAAGAGATCATTTCAATCTTTGTTGGCTAGGATTGCTTGGAATGCAGACGTTTAGGGCATTTGGAAGCAGAAGAATTGGATAGTTCGTGGCAACAATGCTTTATCCTCTTAACAGTTTGATCAAGTGAATTTGTCAAATGGTATCATACAAAATGTACAAAACTAAATTGTTGGAAGAAACTGTTTCAAAAACAGTTCATCGTTGGAAGAAGCTATTTCCAACAGTTATCTAACTGCTATTTGTAACCAAAAGAATATTTCTAGTTTCTGCTATTTGTAACCAACGGAATTTTCCTAGTTGCTCTGTACTAAGGTAAGTTCCTACTAGTGTTTTTTTTTAAATGAAAAATGATATCTTCATTTATCAAAAAAAAAAAAATTCTCACTTGCAGTTGATTACAAATGCAGTGTCACCTATTGGCTAATCCCACATATATTCATTCATAAGAGCACTTGCACAATGCTGTTGGACTGCTAATGCTATTAGCTAGGCTAATAAATCTCAGATCACCAGCAAGAGCAACGTAAAACAGAAGATGGATTTTAAATTTTATTTCCAATGTACCTAAAACCCAAAGGAAAGCAGTAAGTGCATTAGAGTGGACGGTTTGTTCCAGATACAAAAGTTGGTAAAAGATGTCTACTGGCTTAACAAGTACGACAGCAAAGATAAATCCCAGCTATATTGGGAAGGCCACAGAATGGAGGAGAAATGTAACACAAGGCACATATCATACATGTAATAGAATGAAGAATCGCCAGTTCTAATGAGCCTAGGGTCCAATTAAGTGCAAAAAGTAAATCATAATGCTATATCATACAAATGAATTACACAGCAGTCCAGCTTGACAAAATCTCAGGCAACTTCACAGGGAAAAGACATCGTTCAACTCTCTGATTCAATTAGATGGCGGTGAAAGTGGGGAAGACTTGCTTCTGTCCATGTTAGCATTATGATTATGATCTCTGCCCTGCAACCAATGATGCAAAAGTATCTGAAAATCAAGTGTTCCTAAAGCAGGCAAAGAAGTGGTAGCATGTGCTGGGTTGAGTTTGGAATCAATCATCAACATGAATTAATGCATCTCCTAGGTCATGAACTAATGCATAACAGAAGATGTGCATTTGACACAACCATTACAATTTCCAACTATGCTCTGGATTGATCATAGATGATGCTAAAAATATCAAAATCCACATAAGAGCACTTATGTTCCAAGTTCATCATCCAATTATCACTAGACACAGAGCTAAAAAGCATTCTGAAAATACAATCACGTTGGCATGTTATGTATGATTTCTCAAGTAAATAATAACAGATTTTTAATATTCTTTCTTAAATTTTGAGGAAATCTGCTTCTGATTTTACAAATAAACAAAGATCTGATCACTAATAAATAACCGTTTCAGCAGCGCTGAGCAGAATATCATTATACTTCAAAGTTGAAAATCAATAAACAAATTGTACCCAGCTCAAAGCATCATCCTTCGTAAGAAAATTACAAGCTGTGGGAAACTAACCTGTGGACAAGCTCGGCGGCTGCCTAGATGATATTGCTGTAATAAAAACATGCATCCTGAGAAGCAACTATTTGACATAAATAATGTCTTCATCCGGGTCATCACCCCCCAATTCTTGTCATCTTGGATTGGGTCAGATGGGTCAGAGAGCATGTCGCCTTCAATTTCTGCAGTATCTTTCTCAGCTTTTATCCTATCTAATAGTGCAATCACCTGAAAAGGTTAATTCAACGCATCAGTATCTGATGAGAAGGAGAATTGAAAAGCCATCCATACAGACCATGCTCAGAGTCTTAAATTGCCAGGATAAGTACAAAACTTTCTGCAGCAAGAACTATTCATTCTCAAAAAATGGATTGGGGAAAGTAATACATATCCATGATATCAATTATTATTGCAGCATTCTTAACCACTGAATATCCAATGAATGTCATTAACACTTGATATCTACAGAGCATTCTCCACATAAACTATAGATGTTCTGCTCTAAGAGCTATATTTATAGCAATATCATAGATAAGCCAGACTGACAGTCCACATAAGTACTGAGGATAATCAAAGCACTTTCCATTTGACCAAAACAATATTAGAACTGACGAATGAACATATCAACCATAATGAATTACATGTGCAAACACAGTTACTAACAATAGAGAATTTTATTTTATTATTATTTTTTTTAATGTGAGAAAAGTTGCAATGACATTCCTGATATACAGTTACGAACCTAAAAAATAACATTGGTAAAATGAAAAACAAGTTATTGCAAGCACTTACCCTGCTTCCTCTTTCCAAAGATTCATCTTCTATAAACCGTACCTCTGGTGTCAACCGCAACTTCATGCGTCTCCCCAACTCGCTCCTCACATATTTAGCTTTCGACTTCAACCCAGCAATTGCAACCTCCTTCCCTCTATCATCTCCAAAAACAGATACAAACACCTTAACCACCTACAAACATGGACAAAAACTACAACTTACACCCAAATAAACATTATCTATTACAACACTGAAACTGAAAAACCCCCCAAACAGACAAGGTAAATAACTTTCAAGAACCCTCCTTGCAACACATAACAAAATGGACTGCCTACAATAAATTCTATAATTCAAACTCATAGTTTCTTGTATGCACAAAAGGAAAATCTAATTAGCTCGTAATTTCAAAACTATCAGGCTCTGCAACTGATATTTATTGCCTGCAAAAACAACTCAACTCAAAAAACCCAACAAAAGTCCTCAACTTTACCTCACTACACACACCAAGACAAAAACTTTTTACCGAAGCAAAAACTTACACACAAATTAACAAAAACCCATTTCACATAAAACCAACATAACCAATAATTTACCTGCAAATCAGCAGAAACTTCAACGTCACTGATGGTTGTGAGAGAAGACAGGTACCTATCAGCACCTAAAGCAGCTTCAGGCAAAATAGCATACTGTAACACTTTATCAGTTAAAAGCATATCAGATAGCTCTCTTTGTATTTGTTTAGCTACCATTTTCACTCTTCTTGGCTTTGCCATACATTTTATTGTTGTCCCGTAAATCAATGGCTTTTGAAAGTGAATTGGGACCATTGATTTGGGTGAGCGAATTGGGAATGAAGTGGAGTGGACGGTTGTGAATGGTGGGAGATTGGGGTGGGAGGTTAGGAGAGGCTGAGTTTGGCGTAGATGATGAAGTTGTACGTTAAGCATTGTTGTAGAGGATTGTGGCTCTTCTATCGGTGATTTTGCTGCTGATTTCTTCTTCTTCTTCTTCCTGTTTTTCTTTCTTTTTCTGGTATATCCAGCGTTCAGTATCTAAAGGTTATTCTGGAGAAATTGCTGAGAGGGTTTAACGGTACCGTTTTAATAGTTATAGGTACGATGGCCTATCCTATGGGCCTTTGGAGACAAGACCAGTAGTGGGCTTTTATCAGTCCATGGACGACAAGTAATTCAAGTCCTAAGCTGAAGACTACTTTTATTTTAGAGAAGGCCTCTTGTTGGGCTTTTAAGGCAACAAATAGTTTAAGTTTTAGTGGTCGTCTTTTAGCAATTCAGAATTTCAGATAGTAGCGTCTTGCAAATTGTAATACATAATTATTTTCTAATTTTAATACGTTATATTTTTTATTGGCTTGTTTCTAGCTTTTTGGAGTTTTTATAGTCCGAATAAAGTAACAACATAGTACTAGATAATTTAAGAGTGATTTGAAGAATTTATTTTATGTTATTTAGAATTTTATGAATTTTATGTAGTGTATAAATAAATAAAAAATAAGATCAACCTATATTTTGGGATTCATTCTAAAAATATACTATTTTAGGAATCAATAATTTTTTAAAATAATTTTACTAATATTGGTATTTTTTTAATTAGATATATTTGAATTTACTTATCAGTATTTATATATAGTATATTATAAAATTAATATTGCATTAATGACATATTACTCAATCAAATTTTTCTAGAAAAATTACTGTATATTTATTGATTATTTTTTTCACATTTATTGGAGGTCTATTTATAAATTACACAATAAAGTTATCTCAAATGAGCATGCTAGGAGAAAACGGCATTTGCTATACATGACTGGATATGCTAGATATGAAAAGTCACCATATATATATAGATAGATATAACTTAATTTACCATATTGATGTATGTTGCGTCTAAAGAACATGATAAAAATAGTTCTCATTATGATAAAATTTAGTTTTATAACTAAACTTTTGCCCTAATTATATATATATATATATATCCGCTGGTCTTATTGAATTTAATCTTATTCTATTTAGTTATATCTACTCACCCAATACACTTCAAAAACTTCCATTGCTAAGTCTCGAATTCAATTTAAAGGGGATAAAGAGATTGCTTTTCATAGTGTAATACAAATCTGCACAACCTCCTAATAGACCCAAAAATAACAACTTGAAGTTTATTTAGTATCGGAAATTTTCTGCTTTCTCTAATCGAGTCTGATTATAACTCAAAAATTGGAAGAAAGCATGTCTATCACAAATACTGTATGTTTGATATTGTCTCCTTTTTATCTTATGACAACATACCTTATATGCTTAATTTGACCATAAAAAATTAATTAAACAATTTAACTAATTTTATTATGTTTTAATTTATGCTGTTATTATATTTTTTATTATTATTATTTTGCATGGATCTAAACTACACAAAATATGAAATGGACCAAAGATGGATATGGCTCAGCGCAACACCTTAGATGGGAATGGTCGATATTTGTATTCTAGCAAGACTAGTAAGACTAGTATTCATGTATTGTTTGTCACTGAGGCATATTAAAAAGATTGATTAGGTGAGATCAGAGTAAAATCCATTAAAAAAAAACTCAATCATTTGTTTTTTAACTTTTATTGATAAATTAAAATAGTTTAACTAAAACAAAAAAAAAAAAAAAAAAAAAAAAAAACCTAATTCTTGAATTCAAATCTAACAATTTTGAAATTTTTAATTTACAATAAATATTAACTTCTCATTATTTTTAGAAAATTTTAACTTTTTTTTTATCTTTATATCATAAAATCGTTAAATTTTTTCTATCAAACTTTATCTATTCACACACTAGACAACAACAAAAACTTTATCTATTCGGATTTTCATTCATTTAACTTACCAACTATTCAATTTTTATCTTATTAATATTATCTGTTAATTCTTTCATATTTCTCGTTACATACATAAATTTTATTTAATTAATTAATTATTGTTTTTATAAATCACAATATCACTTTTCTAACCGATCTGCCTACGTACGAAACTATTTGATCAGGTTTCAATAACCTTCCATACACGTACGATATGCTTAGTGAAGAAAGTAGTTTTTCATTTACTCCTGGACCACGAAGAATCAATTGTCCTTCGCAACCAGCAACTGCCTAGTGCCCATGGGTTGCTCCCTAGATTGACACGTTGTGAGTTTTCAGGCTACGATGAGTCACTTGTCCAACCCATTAATGAGTACTCGTTGCTGGACAATACAATCCTTCAGGACATTAAATCATCATCGGTACTCTTACAAAGACATATCAGTCATTTCAGATGACAAGTTGTTGGATTAGCATCCTCTCGGATTACAAGTCGTGTTTTGTCATGAAAGTTGTCATTAATTTCTCGGTCGGAAGCAGTACAATCCTGCAGGGCAACGAATTCATAAATACACCCTCCCCTTCCAAACCAGACTAAGCATCCCTTGATGCACAAGAGAATTATTCAGGATTAGATTTTATGCTCGAGTCTTATTATCGATTTCTTGATGAAATGATATATTTATATCTAATTTTACTTTTATTTATAAAATAGTTACAATAAAAATTTTCTAAAAGTATATGAATATGAAAAATACAATATTTTCTACGTAGTATGCCCTCAATCTATATGTATAACTACTTTTAGAAAAAAAACATAACCAAAGCTATCTCGCAGTCGCTGTTTTTCAAATTTTTTTGCAAGGAATTAAACACATTGCATGTGAAGCTGAGTTACTTGCATTGCTTTCTATTGGGACAAGCCATGTGAAAACAAAATAATACAAAATAAAAGCTATCAAAAGTTGATGTGCTACATTCAGGTGGATTATAGAAAGTTAAAAATTATATGAACTCAATCATTCATGAAAATAAAAATAAAAATAAACGTTGTTTTGCCTCAGTTTTCTGCAAGGGACAATAACCAAGCAAGCAGTTGAACAATCAAAGCAATGGATATTTTGTCCCAGGATCTTCCACATGTCACCAGCCAAAGCTTGCCATTATTCAAGATTTAACCCAAAATATATCTATCGTTCAGATTTCCCATTGAAAAATCACTTCTATTATTCATTAAAAACAAATAAAAACACTACCAAAGCCAGCAAAAAAAAGGGCTCCAAACCTGGCAGGGTAAGTACATGGCTTCTTCTATTTATTTTTTTCATGTAAAACCAAAATGCACTGCCTTGTCTCCCACCATAAGCACCAACCAAACAATGTTAGAAGGTGGAACAACACTACAGATGTTAACTGGGCTCTATTTCTGCCACCACCTGCCTTTTTTTTAATCAATTGTACTTGAAGTTACGTAAAAGTGGCTTTGTTTTGACTCTCGTATAAAATAACAATAAGCATCAATTATATTCTCTGTATCATCAACTGTATCTGCATCTAGTTTCTCCAGTTCCTGTAGTTTGCGGACTGTCTAATTTTATATTCTGTCGGTTTATCACTAAACATAACACTATTGTTTAGCTTTTTTGGTTAGAAAATTACACAAACTTTTTTAAAATAAGTCTACGTAAAGATTTGGGTTTCGATACGATGTTTTCGAACTGCCCTTAAATTATTCAGTCAGAGAATATAACCGTATGTGAGTTTATAGGAATTCTAGTCCAAAGATTCATGGTTTGCATGATATTTAAATCAATTATGTTGGCTCTCTTGCACTTGATCATGAGTTGGTGATTAAAATGGAAGGCAGACAGATTATTAGTAGGAAGTTGGTTATTCAAGCAATTAAGTAGCTGGTTGCAGCCAAATAAGAAGGAAATCTTTGGTATAAACTTCAGAATTTCCATGGTTTCCAACAATGTGATCTTCATTTATGAGATATAATCTGCTTCTTTAATACTTATTCTACTTGATTAATATATAAAACATTGAGTTATGTGTGCGCACAAAACACAACTTCAGCCACTAGCGATGTTGGAAGTTCCTATGAGAATTAAGTAGGATATAGATGAAGGGAGAGTGGATTAATAGTCAACTCAAACATTAAATCATGTTTATATAGCAAAAACAGAAGTGCATGATCTTCCATGTTAGTTACCGTGAATTAAGGCAAAGGAACTTTAGGCCCATATTTAAAGACTCCAATGGTCATTGTCACCACTAATGATCGTCTGCATAAGTCTCGATTGATTATTGATGAGAATGACCATTGGAATCCAAGCCAGTCTTTTCCACACCTAATGACCTTCGCTTTTTCTTCATAAAGCAGTCCAAAGACCATCAAAGGCTGGTAATTGATAGTAAGAACCCCGGGAATTGCTCTTAACTAAAAACAAGCTCAAAATATAATTGAGGTGATCCGATATCACGAGAGACTTAATATTGGTAGGCAAAATTGATGCCAAAAAGAAAAATGCTCGTCTTTAAAAAGGAAATGATCGCCATTACTTTCTAATAGACAGACAAATGAACCCATAATGTACCTGTCAAAGGTTTGTGTACTTATTTTTTGGTGTTGAACTGTTATGTGCCCCAACTAATGTAAAGAAGACACGGAGTTTGGTAGGGTGAAGTAGTAAAGGATTAGGGCTGTTCTCTTATTCAAAATCCTAGGCTGCCCAAGGTACAGGCAACATGAGCTCCTCTCTGTAAAGGGACTAAGCTTTAGTCACCAAAAATTGTCCTTGCACCCAGACTGACCACATCTGATCAGTTCCTAAGCATGCCCCAGCATATATTCCCCAAATCTTGGACTATTTACTATTTTAATCAGGGTTACTGTGTTTAGAAGATACTGGGAGACAAGAGATCATGGGAGCAGAAGAAACTGCAACAAAAACAATATGTATATATAATCAAATACGCACACACATATCTAGAATATGCATATGCCCTTTTCACCTTCATCTTTCGGCAGTTAAGCATCCAGACAATGATAAGTTTGACATTAACAATCCTGTCAGCATTAAATA